AATGTACCAATAAAAGAATTTAATACAAAAAAAAATGTGTGTGTTGGTACAGACCTATAATCCCAGCACCTAAGGGGCTGAGGCAAGAGGATCACCAAGAGTTCAAGGCCAGCCTGGGCTACACTGTGAGTTCAAGGTCAGCCTGAACTATATAGCAAGACCTATCTCAAAAACCGAAAGGAAAAGCAAAAGATGACACATAAAAGCCTTATTTATCACTTCAGAGAGGTGGAACAAGGGCTGGGTCAGCATTCTAGAAGGTTCCATTATTCTGGGGAAAGGAGAAGGGCCAGTCCTCAAGGAGCCAGGTAGCCCTGTTTTCCAAGAAATGCTGGCTTTCAAAGGTCTGACCTGACTCAGATGAGGGAAGTGCGGCCCAGAGGAGCAGAATGAATTGCAGCCCCGAGCCTCTCAGAGGCCGACAAAGGACCTGGAGGGCGAGAATCACCGTTTCCATGCTGCAGTAGAGTCTTGTTCCCCAGTAGAAAGGACTTGACCCGTGGTGTGAAATGCGGACTGGAGGGGAATCCTGGGGTGTCTCAGAGGACCCCAGCCCTCAGCACACACAGGGGCCCAGGGGCCCCCATCCCTCAGGTGCCCACTCCATACAGCCTTTCTGCTGCTCACCAGCTCCTCCCACAGCCAGCAGCCCAGACTTGGTGCTCAAGGTCACTTGGGCTGTGCTGGCTTCTAGCTGGTGGCCGAGGCCCCACCCTGACACTCTGAGAGCCGGGCCCATGCCCACTCTGGCAGGAGGAAGGTGGCCTACCTGGAGCACGGTCAGGGCCTGCACGTGTCCGCTGGTGTGGGTGCCTCCATCCCTGGGCAGCCCCTGGGCTCAGGAAGGGCCCAGCCACCTGGCAGCCTTCTTTCACTATGAATCACCAAGCTGAGCGTCTGCTTGCTTCCTGGAGAAAGCAGAAGTGGAACTGACAGATGCCGGGCCACCCCCAACAAGATGGCTCCTGAGTTCTCTGGTATGGCTTAGACTCTGTAGAAAGGGCCCTGGGGTGGAGGACAGAAAGGGAAAGCGCAGCCCTGCAGTGCAGGTCTGGATTCATGTCCCTGTAACCAGCAGCACTGGCTCATCCTTGCTGAGCCCCAGGAAGCTGAAGACAGGCAAGGCATGCAGGTGGATATAACTGGAGGCAGGTCACAATGCTGAGGGAATGGGCCCAGCCACCAGCCTCCACCCACTAGGCACAGAGTCCCTGGTCTTCTTGTTCTCTTTACCCCCAGATCTCACCGGAGCCTCTGACTCAAAGGACTAACCATGGGGTAATGTGAACAAGAGACTGTGATGATTAGAGGAAAATGTAAATAATAGAACTGAGTTCTCTGAGCCAACTCACAAGAGCTAAACCAGGTACCCACCAACCATGAACAGATGGAGGAAATGTGGCCAAGACATATAACAGAGTATTAACAGTAAGGAATGAAGCCCTGTCATTTGCAGGAAAATGGAAGGAACTGGAGCTCAGAAAGACAAATTACATGTTTTCTCTCATACATAGAACCTAGAAAAAAATGGCACAAAGTGGAAGAGAAAGTATTAGAAAAGAGGAAGAGAAAGAGGGGAAGGAAAGGGGGAGGGAAAGAGAAAGAAAGGGGTTGATGGAGTGGGCCTGATTGAAGTATGCTATATACATGTACAAATCTGCCAAAAATGAAGTCCTCATAACTAATATGCACTAATAAAACAAAAGAATCAACTCCTCTGAGATGCAGGCTCTAGATACTCATGCCTCTGAGTATGTTAGGGTGAGTCATTCTGTATAGTGCACGCAGGACCAGCAGACAAGAGAGAGACCAGAGCAAATTAGAGCACTTTGGGGACAAAAGGACAAAAATGACACTGGTGATGAAGCCTCAAATCTCCAGCACCACCACATTGGCAGACAGCAGCCAGCAGAGGTGATGTGCCCAGCTATGTTCTGGGCCACCAGCCTGTGCTGACCCAGTCTCCACGCCCCAGCATCTCTCCTCCCTCTGTCTATGGCAGGGAACAGATGGATGCAGGGAGAGTACACCACAACAGGAATCCAAGGACTGTCCTGGGAGGGGCGACAAGCACACCTTGGCATCAGGTGTCCCCATGTCAACCAGAGTGGGCTCCACTTTCTTTTAAAGCTGCAAATTAGAATCCACAGCTAGAACACTTCCAAGGTCCACTGTGCCATCATGGGGAAGGCAGGGGTTGTACAAGACCCTTCTCCAGCTGAGGCCAGGAGAGGCTGGACTTCTGGACTGTGGATTGTTTGTACCTCAGATGGAGTTGCGCTGGGCATGAGAGTAGAGGATGAGAAGATAAAGGGTGATGCAGGACAGGCTAAGGGAGAGAGCAGTCCCAGAGATGTTGGGGAACAGTGTTTGCAGTCTGATGAAAACACTTCCCCTCTCCCCAGTGCGATCATGAATAAAATCTGCAATAGAGTGTTAAAGTACCAAGAAAGGTGGCACAAAGGCGAGTTATTGTTCAGAGAATTACTCACACCAAGACAGTGGTTAATCCTCCTCCTGAATCTTCAGCTCTGGGATCCTGTTATGGCTTGAGGACAGGTCTTGCAGGTGTAGGGGTTTGTCCTAGGGTGTGAAAGGGCCATGGTCCCCACCAGTGGGCACATCTGTAAGGTACAGGGTGGGGCCTCTCTCAGCCAGTCTTCCCACACTGTTCCATGTGCCTAGGGTGATGATGCACAGCCTGTTACTGCCCTATTCATGAACACCACTCACCCATGTGCATTGGAGCCTCCGGGAAAGCCACACTCCTGTCAGGCCAAACTGGTTCCCTCTGGGGCAGTGGGGATGGATAGCTGGATGCATCTTAACTCCCAGAGCCCTTGTACCTTCACATCATTGATGTGGCATCGCTAGAAACAAGATCCTGGCCAAAGCATCTCAAATGTGGGAGAGCCACAGTGAGGATATGGGGGAGCAGCTGGCTTGGAAAGAGAAGAGGTACAGCTACTGGCAATAAGAAGATAAGGACACATTTTGGAAAGAGGCTCATGAGAAACAAAATCTTTTCAGCAAAGGGTGCCAGAACTACATGGATATCCATAACAAAAAGAGACTAAGGCCCCTTTGTCAGAAATTAACTGACCGTAAGTGTACGGGTTTATTTCTGTATCCTCTATCCTGTTCCATCGGTCAGTGTGACTTCTCCTAGGCCCAGCCATGATATTTTGACTATTGTAGCTTTGTAATATATTTTGAAAATAGTACAGGGCATTCAGTTTTGTTCTTTGTCCTCAAAATTTGAGGCCATTATGATTCTTTACCAATTTTAATGTTTTTCCTATTTCTGTGAAGATGACATTGGAATTTTGATAAGGATTATATTTTTTCTTAGACACAAATGTAAAAGTTAAAGCTATAATGCTCCTAGGAAAAAACAGGAAAATATCTATGAAACTGAAAGTAGACAAAGATTTCCTGGACAGGATATAGGAAGAAATACATATAAAAGACAAGTTGATGATTCAACTTCATCTAAATTAAGGTCTTCTAATTAAAACAAAATGAAAATGCAAGTCATAGACAGAAAGAACAGCATCTATCTGTCCAAAGACATATCCAGATATGTACAGGATTCCAACAAGTCAATACCAAAGACATTAGTAACCCAGTTAAAAATAGGCAAAAGATGTGAATAAACACTTCACCCCCAAAAATGTAAAGGACCAGAAAGTATATGAAAAAGCCACTCAACACTGTTAACTATCAGAGAAGTACGAATTAAAATCACAGTGAGATATCACAGTTCATCCAGTCGAACGGCTAAGATTAAGAATATCATTCACACTAAGTGTTGGCTAGGATATGGAGCAACTGAAACGCTCCTACATTGCTGCAGGAAAGTATGATGATATATCCACTTCTGAATGCCACTTAGCAATCTCTTACAGAGTGGAACACACACTTTTCAAGTGAGCCAGCATTTCCCCTTCTGAGTACTCACCCAAGAGAAATGAAAGGATGTGTCCAGGTGTTCACCCATCCAGGCATGAGTATTTTTAACAGCTTTATTCATAGTAACTAAAAACAGATGCAACCCAAATTTTGGCCAATGGATAATTGATGAAAAAATCATGGTACATGCATTCGATGGAATTCTATTTGGCAATAAATAGGACACAAGTATTAATATACTCTGCAACATGAATGAATCACATAGATACAATGTTTAAATGAAAAAATCAGACTCAGAAATGTATGGTGCTGGGTTTCTATTCATATGAAATTCACTAACAAGCAGAATTCATCTGTGGTGGGAAAAGTCAGAACAGTAGTTGCCCTGGCAAAGGGGGCTGACTGGAAAGAGGCTTAATGGATTCTGAAGTCACAAAAATATTTAAGATTGTCTGGGGGAGCAGTTTGTCAAAATCCTACAATTCAGATGTGTACATTTCAACAGGCATAATGTTTTACATTAAAAAAATACAAAATTATTAAATGGGTAGAGGTATAAATACAGCATGGCAAAATGTTGATCAAGGTTGGAGCTGGATGACAGATGCTTAGGGGTTAATTATGCTATTATATTAATTTTATAGATGTTTAGGGGGTTCTAGAAAGAGAACAAGGAGGGAGGGCTCCATTTATCAGAAGTTAAAATTCACTCTGAACCTTCTATCACAGAAACAGTACCTCACATGGAGAGGACAGTGGAACAGAGTTGAAAATCCGGAAGTAGCGTCAGTCACGTGTGCAACTTTAGATGCACAGTGGTGACATCGCATTCCATGGGGAAAAAGGCCCTGCTACTGAGTAGGATCAGGAAACTGGGTGGACATGAATGAAGAAAAATATTTGATTCCTTTCTTATGATTTTGTAAAAGCCAAATGAACCCACTGTTTACATGTAAAAACACAGCCACTCATACACTGAGGAAAAAAATGAGGATCCATAAACATGGGGCAGTGGGGTCCAGCTCTGGAGGGGTGGCCCTGACAGGTCTGTTCCAAGGAGGTGCCAAGCTCCAGGCTGGGGGGACAGACATGCTTGAGACCCCCAGGAGGGGCATCCCAGCCTAGATGGGGACGATTCCAGCAGCAGTGGCACAACAGAGCTGGAGACATGGAAGAACCCGAGAGATGGAAAGATAGCCCAAGTTCATCCAGAGATGGAAGGGCTGAGGCACGGGAGGAGTGGGTGCTTCCGGTCAGCAGGGTGGATCAGCCTCACCTTCCGCTGCCCAGTGAAGGATGGTGGAGAGGACCAGGCATGGCATTTGTGAGGCCCCCAGACACCCACACCACTGACCCCACCAAGCCCTGCACCAAGATGCCCACCAACAGGTGCCTGGTGAGGTCACAGTGAGACCATACCAAGACCCCAGGATAGGGGCCCTTGCCAAACGTCCTCCCAGTCCAGGAGGGCTGCTTCTTTATTTGCAGGCCCAGATGGCCCATGCCCGGGAGGCCTGACAGTCTATCTGAAGGTGAATAAGGAAATAGCTGGGACCAAGACAGCCAACTCCTCCCCAGCAAAGAGGAGGGAGGGTGCTGGGGTGGGCTGGGAGGCCAAGAGGCCACGGCCCCAGAGGTAGGTACTGATCCTTGGAAGGATGCTGAGAGCCCCGGACGGAGCTGTGCTCAGAGCTCCTGGGTTGAAACCAGGAAGATGAAGCAGGGACAGTGGCAGCCAAGGCCCTGGTGTACACGAGAGGCTTCAGGCTGAGTCACATCAACAGCCATGGAGGAGAGGGTCCTGGGGTGCCGGACCTGGAGGGGCCCGGGCAGAGAACAGAGCCATGCTTGTCTGCACCGTAAACAAAAGGAAGGGTCTGAAGGAGACTACCCCAGCCCTGCCAGCCGGGGCTTGATCCTCTTCCCTGTGCCTCTGTGGCCGTCTTGGGCT